ATAGAATTGGTGTGCCTCAGTCGTATGCAACCAAAAATATCACAACTAAGCTAACTGCAAATAAACGTAGTTAGGGAAGTCGAGTTCGAATCCACAGGGAAAAAGGGACTAATAACTGGAAACCTAAGTGGAAATACTCTAGGACGGTAGTAACCTAAGTAACGAGGGGGGTTTTCATGAGCAATGATGATAAATGAACTAAGTAAGAACAACGAACGTAATGAATAGGTAATCAATGAGAAGAACGGTCTTGGTTATGCGAAATCCACTAATGAACATACAAATTGATCATAGAAGTCTCCTCAATCAAGCTCTATTGAACACCTTGTTGTAGAATTCCTAGATTCTAAATTCTCATAAATAGTTAGAAATAGCAAAGCGCTCCTTTCTAACCCTTACCAATGCACAATTCAAGACAAGCGCTCTAAATTATCCACAAGAAGAAAATAAACGGAGAAATCAACAAGGATTGAATAAATTAACACAAGCGGTCTAATTTCTTCAATAATATTATTCCCTCTTCAAGTTATCAACCAAAAGCATGCATCAATAACCTAAATTTGCTACTTTGGAAAGATTAATTAGATGCAAGCGAATCCAATAATTCTAACCTAGCAATTGATTAAAGCAAATCATGAAATTAATTCAAGGAACAATATATATTCAATAGATATTAAGAGAAGAAAGATCTCACAATTCGTAGCTAAAAGATTCAATCTTTAACCAAGAATCCGGAAGATTAAGCTTCCATGGATTCTAATTCCAAAACAAAGAATTCTGAAAATTCTAAGAAAACCCTAGAAAGCTTTTTTTTCTCAAAACTTAATTCTCCTTTTCTAACTTAAAACTTAATTAAAACTAAGCTATTTATATGTTTCTATATTTTAATAACATAACACAATAATAATAATAAAATAATATCCAAAACACGAGCCAAAACAAAGCCAAATTGCTGAAAATTAACCAAAACAACCCGAATTTCTGCCAGAGCCGCTGGCAGCTGCTCTGGACCCGCTGGCAGCTGCTCTGGCAGCCCCTCACTCTGGTATAACCGCTGCCAGCGGCTCTGGCCAGCTGCCAGCGGCCCTGGCAGCGGTTCCTGCTGTTTTCGCCTTCTTTCCTTGCTTCTTCTTCTTGCTTTGCTTCACCTTTTCCTCAAGCTTTCTTCCTTGCTCTTCCATGCTCCATCACAACTCTCAAATCACAAGCCAAGGTCCATCCTTCTTACATAACTCTTCATTGGTTCCCGAGCTCACTCACTCACTTATACTCATAAATCCCGCCTTTTGCACATAAGTGAGATCACAGCCCAAAACTCACAAAAGCTAACAAAAGTACATATAAAGCATCAAAACACACCCTAAAATGCTTCTCTCAACCCATGATAAGAAGGCTTATCAAATTCCCCCATGCTTGAACCTTTACTCGCCCTCGAGTAAACTTAGAGAATAAAACACATCCTCCTCACTAAGGTTCAAAACAGAAGATGGTGGAATCAAACTAGCTCTATGCACTCAAACTCAACAAAACATCCTAGTACTTATCAACCAATCACAATCACACTCCCCCATACTTCACACTTTGAATCTCCCTTTTTTCTTATTTATCAATTCATCCCCAAAATCAACTTGGAACGATAAACGCATAGCCATGAGTATGAATATTCTCAACCGCCTAAAGAAATGAAATTTTTGATAAAATTGGGCAAACAAAAACTCAACTTAACCAAAAATCTCATAAAAAAACTTCCACATTCAAGAGTGAAAACAAACAACTCATGCTCTCAAATCCTAAGATGATCAACAAATTCCCCCAAAATCTCAACTATCTCCCAAAATCACCAAGATGAAACCTACCCCGACACCTCCTTATATCTCCTCCCCTTATGACACCGACTCCGGCAAATAGATGCGAAATTTCCTTGAAAAATCAAATTCATGAACATTTCTCTTTTTTTTCTCTCATTTTGCCTAGGAGCCCTTTCGGGTTTTCATCCTAGCCTCTCATCTTTTTCCAAATCTCACTACCTCACCCGCTCATTAGCCACTTTTTTGCTTAGGTCGCCCTTTCGGGTTTTCAACCTAACCGGGCCCCCATTTTTGCCTAAGCCGCCTTTTCAGGTTTTCGACTTAGAGGGCTTCTTTTTCTTTTTCTTTTCTCTTTTTTTTTTCAATTTTTCTTCTTTGTTTTTTTTTTTCTTTTTTTTCATTGAAACATAATTGAAATAGCTATACAAAACCATTAAATTAGGATAACTATACAAATTTCAAAAATATGCAAGAATTGCTTCCCCCCCCCCCTACTTGAATGAGACATTGTCCTCAATGCAAGAACAACAACAATAAAAACAAAAGTAAAGGAAAGGGAAGAAATAAGTACCACCTTAATGGGAAGGATTCCCGAAGTTGGAAGATTCGGCATTATCAAGGATTTCAAAACTCTCGAGAAGAAAAATGAACTATGGGGACCCCAAGTGTTGCCCATGGGAAGATTATTCCAACCAAACGCATTTCTAATTACCGCATAAGGCATGACATAGTTCTTATTGTTAAAATTGAAAGAAATTCTTGACATCCCTTAGTCAAAGTGGAAAGGAATTCATCTATACCTCACATAAGTAGGTGCGCTCGTGCTCCATCACTTCCTCCAAACCAACCACTTGCAATGCCTCCAAATCGACGACTTTTGTGCATTGCACCATTCTTTTGGGCTGTTGAAGTTGAACCCATGTAGTCTTTTCTTTCGTAGTTAGACGAATGCCCATGAAGTCATTTGCTTGGGGAAAAGAGGGTGATACACCCTCCCTTGAAGTATCCCCTTGTTGTCTACCCCCTTGCAACCCTTGTAGGTGAAGAGGTTGCCTTCACTTGTTATGTCTTCCCATTGCACAAGAACGAATTGCACAAATCTCACCTCCTCTTTCAAAATACAATGAGCAACCCACCAAACCTCCAAACACCAAGGTTCACAAAATTCCTCAAATTTCAAGTTTAGAATTTAGAAATTGAAACAATGTTAAGGTTTAATTGGACTTGAAATTGAGGGAAAAGAGGTTAGACGAGGGGTTTTTAAATTTCTGAATTTTGGATTGAAAATGGGGCAAATGGGTTGTTTTGGATAAAGAATAATTGCTAAGGGATAGAGGGAAGTGATTAATTGGGGTTTTGGATAAAGACTAGAATGAATTGGATTGTAGGATTGAAGAAAAAGGGGTTTAAAAGGGCAAAAATTCAGGTATGCAGGGAATGCCGCTGGTAGCGTCTTGGGGCCCGCTGCCAGCGGCTTAAGAAGGAATTTAGGGTGAATTTCGCTGGAAGACCCGCTGGCAGCGGCTTGGGACCCGCTGGCAGCGGCTTGGGACCCGCTGGCAGCGGCTTGGGACCCGCTGGCAGCGGCTGCTGCAAAAAAAAAAAAAAATATTTATTTTTCTTTTTTTTTTTCTTTTTTTTTTTTCTGAAGGACACCCGCTGGCAGCGGCACCAGACCCGCTGCCAGCGGCTGGGGCAGAACTTTGGGATTTTTTGGCTGCTTGGAGAGCCGCTGGTAGCGGCTACAGAGCAGCTGCCAGCCCGCTACCAGCGGCTCCTGCAGGGGCTGCCTCCCAAAGTCTGTTTTTACCTGTTTTGCTCTGTTTTTGCTCACAATACGTACTCCCAAAGCATCCTCCTACATAAATCCACCAAAAGCACTTGGTACATCAAAACAAAAACAATAAAAACTAAAATAAATGAAAACGGGGAAGAGTTTTCGGGTTGCCTCCCGATTAGCGCCTTTGTTTTACGTCGTTGGCTCGACACAACTCATGAAACTTCGTTAATCAATTGATGGCTCGTAGAGATCGATGTTCTCCAAATTCTCGACCTTGAACCCTTCGTAGTATGGTTTAAGCCTTTTTCCATTCACTTTGAACATGTTGTTGGTCTCTAAACTCCGAATTTCTACCGCTCCATGCGGATAGACCTTGTCAACTTGAATTGGACCCTTCCAACGGGAGCTCATCTTGTCATGCCACACCTTATTCTTTGCTTTGTGGTATACCTGGGATAATTTCTTGCCCAGAAATGATGACGGGGTGGGTGTTGCCCCTAGTGGTATAGGTGGAAGCTTGGACTGTTCATTCAATTCCGCCACCTTCACCTGCACATTAGTAGGTATAGAAGAATCCAAGCAATCACCAGACACAACATTAGTAATAGGTGTGAGGAGCTCATCCCCATGATCAATGTTAGAAACATCATGCAATATTGGATCGACAACATTTATAGAATATAAAGAATGAGTATCAACAGGATACTTTATGGTATCATAAATGTTATACACAATTGCTTTCCCATCAACCTCCATAGTCAAAGAACCGGTAGACACATCGATTTTTGTCTTAGCAGTCTTTAAGAAAGGTCTTCCTAACAGGATGGGGGCTGCTTGTTTGTCATGTTCCATGTCAAGGACGTAAAAGTCAGCAGGAAAGATCAATCCATCAACCTTAACAAGTACATCTTCTATTACCCCCTTAGGATATACATTGGACCTATCAGCTAACTGAATTACTACCCCAGTTTCATGCAAAGGCCCAAGTTCTAAAGATTTAAACAGGGAGTAGGGAATGACATTGATTGATGCACCTAGGTCCAACATGGCTCGGTGTAATGTGGTGTCTCCTATTGTAACAGGAATAGTAAACATACCAGGATCACCACATTTTTCTGGGAGTTTCTTTTGGAAAACTGCAGAAACATGAGCACTCACCTTCACTTTTTCTTTTCCTCCCAACCTGTGCTTTCTCTTGATCGTACACAGTTCCTTCATAAACTTAGCAAAACGAGGAACACTTTTAATCACATTCAAGAGGGGCATATTTACCTCACATTTGCTGAAAGTCTCATAAATATCCTTGTCTTTCTCATACCTTCGAGTATCTTGCAAGGCTTCTGGGAAAGGTGGCACAGGCTCATAAGAGGTAAAGGTTGGCGGATTCGCCTTAGTTTCTTGTTCTACTTCCTCCTCCTCAACTCCAATCAAGTCTTTAGCCTTCTTAGGTGCAACTACAGTTTCTTGCAACTTTTTTGCCACTTCTCAATGTTATTGCATTAACTTGTTGCTTAGGGTTCAGCTCCGTTTGGGATGGAAGCTTTCCAGAGTCCTTAGCTTCAAGTCGGCTTACTGCACTTGAGATTTGACTGACTTGATTCTCCAGGTTTTGAATACTTGATCTGGTTTCTTGTTGAAACTGCATCATATTCTGCTGCATGGTAGAAACATTAGAAGTTAGTGATCTAATCATTTCTTCAGTTGACATATTACCTGAATTAGAGCTTTGGCCTTGAGGTGTTAGGAACGGTGCCCTATATTGCTGAAACTGTTGTTGACCTTGAGCATGCTGATGTTGTTGGTTTCCTTGGGAATTCCCATATCTCAAATTTGGATGATCTCTCCATCCTGGGTTGTAGGTATTTGAAAAGGGATCATATCTTCTCTGCGGACCTTGCCCTTGAAAACCTAAGGCGTTGGCCTGCTCATTCTGCTCCTCTTGTAATTGAGGACATGCATCAGTGGGATGTCCCATGGAGGTGCATAAACCACAAGCATTCAGTTGCTGTGGATTCCTTGAGTTCACCATGAACTCACGCATCATAGAAGTCAAATCAGCTACTTGACTCTCTAACTCAGTTGTATTCGAATTTGCTAAATTCACCCGGCGCGTGGGAGTTCTCTGACTGAATTGCCTAGAATTTTCTGCTAGCTCTGCAATCAACCTAGTTGCATCTCCTGGAGTCTTATTCACTAGCCCTCCACCACTTGCTGCATTCACCATACTCAAGTCATCATCAGTTAGACCTCCATAGAAGTATAGGATGCGGTCTTGATCGGAATACCCATGGTAAGGACAACTAGCACACAATCTCTTAAATCTCTCCCAATACTCATACAAGGATTCATCTTCCTTCTGATCCACATTGCTGATAGCTTTCTTAAGGCTTGCAGAAATAGTGGCTGGGTAGTACTTCTCAAGGAAACACTTCTTTAAATCTGCCCAAGTTGTTATGCTACCTGGGGGAAGATAGTAAAACCAATCCTTTGCTGCATCTTTGAGAGAAAAAGGAAATGCTCTCAACTGAATTTGTTCATCAGTCATCCCAATCGGTTTCATGCTAGTGCAAACCACATGAAATTCTGCCAGATGTTTATTCGGATCTTCGCCTTTCATGCCATGGAATGCCGGCAATAGATGAATTAGACCGGATTTGATCTCAACATTAGTACCTTCCTCCAACTGCTGGTATGCAATGCACAACGGTTGTTGGTTCAAGTTGGGAGCTGTGAGTTCCCTTAGAGTTCGATTGTCAGCCATCTCCTCTTCTTCTTGAATATTGAAGGAGTATGTTGATTCACTGGGGGTTGTTCTTGCCTCTTTTCGCAACCTGGAAATATTCCTTTCAATTTCTGGATCAAACTGCAAAACTTCTTTGTTAGCAGAACGGGTACTTATCATACCCTAGCGAACAAACAAAGAAAGATAGCTAAGAACAGTCCTAAAATAAATTTTACTAAGATAAACAATTAAAAAGTAACGCCTTAAGTCCCCGGCAACGGCGCCAAAATTTGGTGTGCCTCAGTCGTATGCAACCAAAAATATCACAACTAAGCTAACTGCAAATAAACGTAGTTAGGGAAGTCGAGTTCGAATCCACAGGGAAAAAGGGACTAATAACTGGAAACCTAAGTGGAAATACTCTAGGACGGTAGTAACCTAAGTAACGAGGGGGGTTTTCATGAGCAATGATGATAAATGAACTAAGTAAGAACAACGAACGTAATGAATAGGTAATCAATGAGAAGAACGGTCTTGGTTATGCGAAATCCACTAATGAACATACAAATTGATCATAGAAGTCTCCTCAATCAAGCTCTATTGAACACCTTGTTGTAGAATTCCTAGATTCTAAATTCTCATAAATAGTTAGAAATAGCAAAGCGCTCCTTTCTAACCCTTTCCAATGCACAATTCAAGACAAGCGCTCTAAATTATCCACAAGAAGAAAATAAACGGAGAAATCAACAAGGATTGAATAAATTAACACAAGCGGTCTAATTTCTTCAATAATATTATTCCCTCTTCAAGTTATCAACCAAAAGCATGCATCAATAACCTAAATTTGCTACTTTGGAAAGATTAATTAGATGCAAGCGAATCCAATAATTCTAACCTAGCAATTGATTAAAGCAAATCATGAAATTAATTCAAGGAACAATATATATTCAATAGATATTAAGAGAAGAAAGATCTCACAATTCGTAGCTAAAAGATTCAATCTTTAACCAAGAATCCGGAAGATTAAGCTTCCATGGATTCTAATTCCAAAACAAAGAATTCTGAAAATTCTAAGAAAACCCTAGAAAGCTTTTTTTTTCTCAAAACTTAATTCTCCTTTTCTAACTTAAAACTTAATTAAAACTAAGCTATTTATATGTTTCTATATTTTAATAACATAACACAATAATAATAATAAAATAATATCCAAAACACGAGCCAAAACAAAGCCAAATTGCTGAAAATTAACCAAAACAACCCGAATTTCTGCCAGAGCCGCTGGCAGCTGCTCTGGACCCGCTGGCAGCTGCTCTGGCAGCCCCTCACTCTGGTATAACCGCTGCCAGCGGCTCTGGCCAGCTGCCAGCGGCCCTGGCAGCGGTTCCTGCTGTTTTCGCCTTCTTTCCTTGCTTCTTCTTCTTGCTTTGCTTCACCTTTTCCTCAAGCTTTCTTCCTTGCTCTTCCATGCTCCATCACAACTCTCAAATCACAAGCCAAGGTCCATCCTTCTTACATAACTCTTCATTGGTTCCCGAGCTCACTCACTCACTTATACTCATAAATCCCGCCTTTTGCACATAAGTGAGATCACAGCCCAAAACTCACAAAAGCTAACAAAAGTACATATAAAGCATCAAAACACACCCTAAAATGCTTCTCTCAACCCATGATAAGAAGGCTTATCAAGAATGCATTTGACTTTCACTTGATTCAAATAGTTTTGTTTGAATGTGTTTGACCTTTTATTGATTTAATTTGAATTTTTTAGATGTTTATTACTTTCATTTGAGTCAATTAGATTTGTAGAATGCATTTGACTTTCATTTGATTCAAATAGCTTTGTCTGAGTGTGTTTGACTTTCATTTGATTTAATTAGATTTTTTTAGATGTTTTTGACTTTCGTTTGATTCAATTAGCTTTGTTGAATGCATTTGACTTTCATTTGATTCAAAAAGCTCTGTTTGAATTTGTTTGACTTTCATTTTATTCAATTGGCTTTGTTCGAATGTTTTCGACTTTCATTTGATTCAATTAGCTTTGATGAATGCATTTAACTTTCATTTGATTCAAAAAGCTCTGTTTGAATGTGTTTGACTCACATTTGATCCAATTAGCTTTGTTTCAATGTGTTTGACTTTCATTTGATTCAATTAGCTTTGTAGATTGCATTTTACCGTCATTTGATTCAAAAAGCTCTTTTTGAATGTGTTTGACTTTTATTTGATTCAATTAGGTCTGTTTGAATGTGTTTCACTTTCATTTGATTCAATTAGGTTTGTTTGAGTGTGTTTGACTTTCAATTGATTCAATTGGGTTTGTTCGAATGTTTTTTACTTTCATTTGATTCAATTAGATTTGTAGAATACATTTGACTTTCATTTTATTCAAATAGCTTTGTCTGAATGTGTTTGACTTTCATTTGATTTAATAAGATTTTTTTTAGATTTTTTTACTTTCATTTGATTCAATGAGCTTTGTTGAATGCATTTGACTTTCATTTGATTCAAAAAGCTCTGTTTGAATGTATTTGACTTACATTTAATTCAATTAGCTTTGTTTGGATGTGTTTGACTTTCATTTGATTCAATTAGCTTTGTTTGAATATCTTTGACTTTCATTTGATTCAATTAGGTTTGTTTGAATGTGTTTTACTTTCATTTGATTCAATTAGCATTGTTTGAATGTGTTTGACTTTCATTTGATTCAATTAGCTTTGTTTGAATGTGTTTGACTTTCATTTGATTCAATTAGCTTTATAGATTGCCTTTGACTTTCATTTGATTCAAATAGTTTTGTTTGAATGTGTTTGACCTTTTATTGATTTAATTTGAATTTTTTAGATGTTTATACTTTCATTTGATTCAATTAGATTTGTAGAATGCATTTGATTTTCATTTGATTCAAATAGCTTTGTCTGAATGTGTTTGACTTTCATTTGATTTAATTAGAATTTTTTTAGATGTTTTTGACTTTCGTTTGATTCAATTAGCTTTGTTGAATGCATTTGACTTTAACTTGATTCAAAAAGCTCTGTTTGAATGTATTTGACTTACATTTGATTCTGTTAGGTTTGTTTGAATGTGTTTAACTTTCATTTGATTCAATTAGATTTGTAGAATGCATTTGATTTTCATTTGATTCAAATAGCTTTGTCTGAATATGTTTGACTTTCATTTGATTTAATTAGATTTTTTTTAGATGTTTTTTACTTTCATTTGATTCAGTTAGCTTTGTTGAATGCATTTGACTTTCATTTGATTCAAAAAGCTTTGTTTGAATGTGTTTGACTTTCATTTGATTCAATTGGCTTTGTTTGAATGCTTTTGACTATAATTTGATTCAATTAGCTTTATAGAATGCATTTGACTTTAATTTGATACAAATAGCTTTGTTTGAATGTGTTTGACTTTCATTTGATTTAATTAGGTTTTTTTATATGTTTTTGACTTTCATTTGATTCAATTAGCTTTGTTGAATGCATTTGACTTTCATTTGATTCAAAAAGCTCTATTTGAATGTGTTTGACTTACATTTGATTCAATTAGCTTTATTTGAATTCGTTTGACTTTCATTTGATTCAATTAGCTTTCTTAAATGCATTTGACCTTCAGTTGATTCAAAAAGCTCTTTTTGAATGTGTTTGACTTTCATTTTATTCAATTAGCTCTATTTGAATGTGTTTGACTTAAATTTGATTTAATTAACTTTGTCTGAATGTGTTTGACTTTCATTTGATTCAAATAGATGTTTTTGACTTTTGTTTGATTCAATTAGCTTTGTTGAATGCATTTGAGTTTTATTTGATTCAAAAAGCTCTGTTTGAATGAGTTTGACTTACATTTGATTCAATTAGCTTTGTTTTAATGTGTTTGACTTTCATTTGATTCAATTAGCTTTGTAGATTGCATTTGACCTTCATTTGATTCAAAAAGCTCTATTTGAATGTGTTTGACTTTCATTTGATTCAATTAGCTCTATTTGAATGTGTTTGACTTTCATTTGATTCAATTAGCTTTGTTAAATGCATTTGACTTTCATTTGATTCAAAAAGTTCTTCTTGAATGGGTTCTACTTCCATTTGTTTCAATTAGATCTGTTTGAATGTGTTTGACTTTCATTAGATTCTATTAGGTTTGTTTGAATGTGTTTGACTTTCATTTGATTCAATTAGCTTTGTAGAATGCATTTGACTTTCATTTAATTCAAATAGCTTTGTTCGAATGTGTTTGACTTTCCTTTGATTTAATTAGCTTTGTTTGAATGTGTTTGACTTTCATTTGATTTAATTAGATTTTTTTAGATGTTTTTGACTTTAATTTGATTCAATTTGCTTTGTTGAATGCATTTGACTTTAATTTATTCAAAAAGCTTTGTTTGAATGTGTTTGACTTTCATTTGATTCAATTGCCTTTGTTCGAATGTTTTTGACTTTCATTTGATTCAATTAGCTTTGTAGAATGCATTTGACTTTCATTTGATACAAATAGCTTTGTTTGAATGTGTTTGACTTTCATTTGATTTAATTAGGTTTTTTTAGATGTTTTTGACTTTCATTTGATTTAATTAGCTTTGTTGAATGCATTTGACTTTCATTTGATTTAAAAAGCTCTGTTTGAATGTGTTTGACTTACATTTGATTCAATTAGCTTTGTTTGAATGTGGTTGACTTTCATTTGATTCAATTAGCTTTCTTAAATGCATTTGACCTTCATTTGATTCAAAAAGCTTTTTTTGACTGTGTTTGACTTTCATTTTATTCAATTAGCTCTGTTTGAATGTGTTTGTCTTTCATTTGATTCAATTAGGTTTGTTTGAATGTGTTTGACTTTCTTTTGATTTAATTAGCGTTTTTTGAATGTGTTTGACTTTCATCTGATTCAATTAGCTTTGTTGAATGAATTTGACTTTCATTTGATTTAAAAAGCTTTGTTTGAATGTGCTTGACTTTCATTTGATTCAATTGGATTTGTTCGAATGTTTTTGACTTTCATTATATTCAATTAACTTTGTAGAATGCATTTGACTTTCATTTGATTCA